GACAGGATCTCACTATGTAGTTCAGGCTGACCTTGAACTCAGTATGTACCCCAGGCTGGCCTCGAACTTGTGGTGATCTTCCTGCCTCAGCCTCCCGAGTGCTGGGATTACAGGCGTGTGCCACCACACCCGGCATAAATTGCATTTTTAAAAGCTGTTTTGTTAGACTGATGAGTAATGTGCCTTTTCTTCACAGGAACACTTAGGATCAGGTAGGCTCAGGCACACTAGCATGCTCAGAACTCAGTAAAGCACTGTGTCTGCACAGAAGTTAGGATTGTTAAGTACCCAGATATCTTTAATTTGTTTAGCTGAGATTCTTTTTTTTTGAGACAGGGTCTCACTATACTAGGTAGTTCAGGCTGGCCTCGAATGTGCAGTGATCCTCCTGCCTCAGCTTCCTGAGTGCTGGGATTGATTATAAGTGTGTGCCACCACACCCAGCTAACTGAGATTCTTAAGAATAATACCTACCATCTTTTGACCCCCAACCGTAGGCTAGTTCTGGAAACATTTTATTGCTCTATCTTTACTAAAAGAAATGACACATCTCCAAATCCAGTGACATTTTCCAGAACATGCACTCAGGCACCAGTGGCGTGTCTTTTGGTGCCAGCGTTCCTGATTTGTTACCCAAATGTTGGCACGTGACCACATGGACAGTAACAACCAGGCCTGTGCTGCTGAGAGTCAGAATGCAGTGGACAACACGCTCCCTCCGATACTCAGTCTGCTGCCTTTGCTCAGCAGCTCCTTGGGGTGCTTCCCACATCTATCCTGCATTGCTTAATTTTTCTGTCTGTGCACATGCTGCTTTCATAAAGGATCACGAGTGGTTGTATAAGTAAAGGTTTTGTTTGTAGGTTATGGGCACTCTGGGTCAGCACTGGCATCTTTCTGTGCATGCTAATGCAGTGGACACAGCAGGCACCCCTCTCACTGCCCACGGACGGATACCCTGTTACATACTGGACGGGGACAGTGACACGCGCATCATGTTCTGAACCTTTTTGATCATCTGGAGATAACGACGGCACTTACTCTTATCTGGAGGGAAGGGGCCGTCTGTCTGTGGGCAAAGCACAACCGTTCCTTTCCGTCGGATGCAGTCAGTGCCACATGACCGGAAATACGGAATCAGCTGAGGAAAAATGAGAAGCTCAGAAATTTCACACTGTGCTTCAGACAGAATCTGAGCAGTATTCCTCTTTCCACCGCATCCTCCTCTAAGCACTTTCAAAGACGTTTTCCCTTTGTTTCGCTTGTGTAACAAAGCCCTTGACATCCAACCCAGTGATCCAAGACTGAAACACCTTTCAAGACTGCGGGATTGTGAACCTCAACTCTGTGCGTGTTTCTGACATGCTGGTTTCCTTATCAGGAAGAGCTGAGTTATATCCCAACATCCATGCAAATATTTCCTCTCGGACTAGAGAACTAGAGGGCTCCTGTTGACGCCAGTCAGGGCTTTATGACAGGCAGGTCTCTCGCACTAGGAGTCTGCGGCTCCCTGGAAGAGGCATGGATAATATACTTTCAGGGCCTGCTGCCTTCGGCCTTTATGTTCCAGGAAGCGAAGACAAAAACACCTCACTCTTTGGTGTGGCCGAGTCCCACTGCGTTCCTCTACGTCCCCGCACTGTAAACTGAGCAGTGGCAGGAGACCTGAGAGCATTGACTGGTCCACCTTCTACTTCTACCTGGGTCAGCTGACGCCCTGAGAGGACAGGCAGTTGCTCTCCAGATGTCATACCCTGCCCTGGAACCTTTCACCTTTCACCTTTCACCTTCAGATTTTCGCAATTTCATTTTGCAGTTAAAAATAGGCTTGGGGAAATGAAATGTTTCTTCTACGTCAGAGTTGCTGTGAGGGTCTGTGACAGAAAGTGGAAACAAAAGCACTTTGGAAGGTCAGCTGCCAGTAATCTAAGCAGAAGTTACCACGGTTGCGAGGTCGGCTTCCTGACCCCGCCACCATAAAGAGCGCAACAGGGAACAATGTTGCTTGATACAGGACTATTGCCAAAAGTGATTGTGAGAGAACTAATGCATCCTTCAAAGGACTTGTCAAAAGCATGTAATGGTGGAGCAGTCTTTCAATGCCCTTCCCCTCCCCAAAACACCTTGTTAAACTTACCTGCACCATAGCACCTTCACTTTCCCCGGTCACCAGAATGACTACCGAAGTTCTTGTTTGTTTGTTCTATAGATGAGTGAGACAGAATCAAGAATTACAAGTCATCTAAGCAACTACTAATGGGAAAGCTACTCTTTCCAGACTGACTTTCAGTTCATTAGACTATATGTGAATACAGATTCATTTCATACTTCTGAAATTTCTACTTTTAACTGGTTTTAGATTCATCATGATATATCCTAGGATGCCCACAGGAATTTGTTACCTGTTGAATTAATCAAAATAGCCTAGTACATTTGGACAGTACATAGTTCCGTGCTCTCTCAGGACAGCCTGTTCAGAGAATCCTAAAGTGTCCACTTTATCCTTCTACAGAGTTAGGGAGCTGAAGGTTGAAGATCAGGGAATGAAGGGGAACAGTACCTCTGACACATCGGAAGACCCAATTATAGTGTCATGTCGGATAAGAACCCTGTATGTGTTTCCAAGGGGACTGGTTGTAAAATTCACTTCAACCATCTTCTCATTCTTCTTACAAGCAGTGATGTTGGGATTCCACAGACTTCCTGTGAGTTAAGGGAAAACCATGTGGATGAACTTGAGAACTTTTCCTTCACTTAAATCCCCAAAGAGGCTTTACAAAAAAGTTCTGAGGCATACATCCAAGAGCTACAGACTCTACTACACAGTGCATTCTTAGCACTGCTCCCAGACTCTCAAAGTACCCGTTGCCCAAGTAAGTTTAGGGACCCCCTCCCCATCCCAATGCCACTGCTTTGCTAAAAGTCACTTCCCTGAGCTGAGGGTGGTTGGAGACAGATCAGATTCTAATACTTCTATTCTTAATCTGCAATCTAAATTAAGGACTAGGGCCAGTATTTTCTCCTTCTTAGAATGTGAAAAGGAGCTACAGGTTAGGAGACATGTCTGAGGTTATGGTAGAAATGAATGTAAGATCAAAACTACAACCAATGAGAACATTCTGGATTCCAGGAGCATGTCACCCATTTCACCATTCTGTTAGCTTTGCCGAATGCAAAGAAGGAAGGAAATGCCTCACAGTTCAGAGGACACCCTGATAGGTCAGCTGTGTCAGAAGAAAGGCCTTTGTTTCAAGAATGTGACTTGCAAATAAGGACTAGGTTCATTTCCAGGAACATAACATATAACAGCACAAATTATCTTCCCCACAGAGGAGATCATTTCAGGCCCTGCCTTGGAAGCATCTTCACAGGTTCCCCCTTGGACTGATTTCCAGGCCTTCAAACCCCATACCCCAGTGCTTCCAGACTCCTACAGATCTCTCTTGGTAGGAGAGGAAGCCCCATGCTCCCGGTCTACTTCTAATAATAACAGCACATGTAGCTCTCTAACAGTGTATGCAGGGACACCTTGTAGGGTAAAGGGTCCCTAAAGGATCAGGACTGATCCCCTAAACACAACTAACCTCATTAGCACCCAAGACTATACTGCCCCCAAATTTACATAAAACTCCTTGGAAATTGGGCACTGGGATGATTATCTTAAATGGGCTATTTTACAATTCAAAAAGCAGGATTAGGATTCTAGCAGTCTAGATGGGAGAGGTGATCCTCTTTAAGGACACAGGTTGAGAACATGCTTCTAGATCATTACTTAGACTAACTCCCACCCTGAATGCTTGCTAATCCAAATATGGGCGGGCATGGTGGCACACACCTATAATCCCAGCACTCGGGAGGCCGAGGCAGGAGGATCCTTGCGAGTTCGAGACCAGCCTGCGCTACAAAGTGAGCTCAAGGCCAGCCTGAACTGCACAGCGAGACCCTGTCTCAAAAAGACCAAAAAAAAAGAAAAAAAAAAAAAACCAGAGAAGATTTCTACTGCCTCCATGACCATAGGCCAGTGGGATTAGTGAGCAGGTGAAAGGGCTCATAGAACTCCCATACAATCAGAAAGGCCTTTGATTGGCACCACTGCAAGTATGGTTTGAGCTGAAATGTTAGTTTAATAGTTTAACCAGGGGGCGAGGGGTGGTTTCGTGCGGCTCCACTGCAATAACTTAGTAGAGTCACGAGACAGGGCTGCTTGTCACAGTGAGCAGAGTGATGGCCAAGATTTAAGAGCCCTGGTGCTTCCGTCTGGGTACTGAGCAACTTGGACACATAATTTCTCACTTGAAGCCTTGGTTTCTTCATCTATCAAAGGATGGATAGAGCTGGGTATGGAGGTGCGTGCCTGTAATCCCAGCACTCTAGGAGGCTGAGGCAGGGGGGTGGCAAGTTTGAGCCCAGCCTGTGCACCTGAGCAGCAAGACCCTGTCTCAAATTAAAAAATAAAACAGGCTGGAAATGTAGCTTAGTGGGAAGGCTCTGGAATGCAGTCCCAGTACCCCCCCCCCAAAAAGATGGATAGATAGAACTGGCACAATTTGTGAGCATCTTTATTTTATTTTATTTTGTCTTTTTTTTTTTTTTTTTCTTGAGACAGGGTCTCGCTATGCATTTCAGGCTGGCCTTGAGCTCACTTTGTAGCCCAGGCAGGCCTCAAACTCAAACTTGCAATGATCCTCCTGCCTCAGCCTCCTGAGTGCTGGGATTCCAGGCTTGCGCCACCACGCCCGGCTTATGAGCATAAGCAAAAGCAGAGTGTTCTATTTACTTACCTGCCTCGCGGCACTTTTTCTGGTATTTCATTGTGTGGTCTAGGCAACCTGGAAGTTTGAGGGAAAGTTTTTACACTTGTGAAAAAGGTTATCACTGTTCTATTCCCTTGTCAACAAGGGCAAAAGCATGCATACACACACATCCCACCTAATTAACAAATTGCCAACACAGTCCAGATGTGGGACAGAAATCTAAATGGGATACCATTTATCCTAAAATTTTGCTGTTAAACAAAAATCATTTGCCATTGTTACGGCAAGCAAGTCCATAGAGAAAGACACTCACACGAAAACCAAAAAAAGCATGAATGCACAAAATTTTATTGGAGCCAGCTGATGGATCATCTCTAACCCGGAGTCAGAGAAGATGTCCATGCCGCTCTGGGTCTCACCTTTGGTTTTAGTACATTTCAGGTTTCCATAGTAACCATTACTTCATTTTCAGGAATCGCACAAGAACGTCACATAATTAGCACAAAGTTTACCTTCCTCCCAGGAGGTCAGACAATCAAATTTCAATGACCTTTAGTGGGTTACCCTTTAGCCTGCTTCCCAATTTGCTGTGTTTGTTCTGTTCCCAGTTTATGGCTTTGCTCTGCTTTTAAGCAAGTTGATAAGGGGGCTGGGGTGTGGGGGTGTCAACTACAGCTTAAGTGAATTTTAAGTGACCTACCTCTCTTACTATGAAGTTAAAACCAGAAAAATGGAGTTTCTCTTGCCCTATCACCATGAAATGGTAACCAGAGCCTAAGTACTACCTTTATCAAAACTATCAGTGATTACAAAAGAACGCTTGAAAAGCCATCATCCTTTACAACCGAAGTTTGATAACACATATAGATTCCATCCCTTACAGGCATGAGGTTTAACCTACCCAGAACCCTAGCAGGCACCACACTAACCAAGTGATGCACATCTCACCAGTGATCTCTCACGCATGATGCAATGATAAGGGCTCACATCCCTGCAGGAGTCTTCCCCCAAACCCATATCCTGGTCTAACAATGAGATAAACGTCAGTCAAACCCAAACTGGGGTCCTTCTACAGGACGCCTGGTTAAACTCAAGACTATCCAGGTCATGAAAAAATGGAGACTAAGACACTGTTACTAAGTGAGACTAAGAAGACAAGGGACTAAATGTAATGGGAGAAGAAAAAAGATACTAATTTTAAAACATCAAGTAAAATCCAAGCAAATTCTGGAGTTAGTAGAAGTAAACCAATGTTAATTTCTTAGTTTTGACAGACTTGCACTAACGCTGTATGATGGCAACAATCAGAGAAGTTGGTGAGAAGTGAAAACTCTTTAGAGTATCTTTGCAATCTTTCTGTAAAGCTGAAATTATTACAAAATAAAAAACTAAAGCCTATTTAAATGCAAAGTGAGAGAGCTGGTGCTGGGGGTGTAGCTCAGTGGTACAATGCTTGCCTACCAGGCATAAGGCCATGTAGTCAATCCCCACTACAACCAACAAGAAAATAGAGGTTAAGTCTCATCAAGAAATCTGAAAATAGGGCTGCGGGTTTAGCTCAGCGGCACAGTGCCTGCCTGGCAAGCGCGAGGTCGTGAGTTCGATTCCCGGTACCAGAAAAAAAGAAAAAATCTGAGAACTACTGTGTAAGTGGCACCAACATCACCCTGGACTGCCTGAGAAGGACCAGGGAGGTATTGGAGATGTAGCATAGGGGTAAAGCTCCTGCCTAGCATGTGTAAGGCCCTGGGTTTAATCCCCAGCATCAAAGAAACACACACACACACACACACACACACACACACAGAGTTTGAATGTCAGCTTTACTCTCCCTGTATGTACAATCCATGGCAGGTGACTTAACATTTCAGTTTCTTCATCTGTAAAATGGGGCTATCCTACCCTCAGGGTGAGGAAAGACATGCATGTCAAGTGCTCAGCACAGTGCCTGACACACAGGAATGTGCTTTGCCTACATTTTGATTTAACCCTCTCTGCTCTATAAGGAATTGTTACTACTATGGCCATACAGCAGATGAAGAAACTGAGACCTTGCAAGGCCAAAGCCTCGTCAAGCAGACTCCAAAACAGGTGCCCTAGCAAGACAGAGAATAACTGAAGAGTCGAGGTGGTTTACCTGGTGAGGTGAAGTTCACAGACAAAGAAGGGCTGTCCTCATTCATATTTGCATTGGGGATGTTATGGGCCCCAATGAAATAGAGTGTGTTCAGTGCCACGGGGAAGCCTACGTAGGAGAACGTCCACTGAAAGGCAAAGGGAGGCGCGCCTGAGTTCCCAGCATGCTCCATGGTGCAGTAACAGCCCCGCTGTGTGTTGCCCTTGTCCTTTGTAATTTCACTCCTTGTCCTGCTGCTGAACCTTAGTTCTCTAGCCATTGTCCACTTGGGGAGTGGGCTCCACATGATTTGCCAGAGTAACTCACAGAATCGCAAATGAATGTTAGAGCTAGGAGATAAAATTATGTTCCGTTCCCCTCACTTTCCTGATGAGGATACCGATGCCCAGAGATCCTAATTTGCCCAAGCATGGAGGAGAGAAGTACCCAGAAGTGGATCTGAACCTAGGCATCCTGCTCTGCATCCCAGCGGCTCACCAGCCTGTGTGTGCAGCACACAGCCCATGCTTCCCACAAGACCCGGTTTTCAGTGACAGCCACATGCCTAGTAGTACTTACCTTGCCACCAGAGGGTCTGGTCTGCCACTGGAAGGCCTCTGTGTAATTGCACCTCACACAGCTGTACAACTGGAGGTTGCTTTTGCCCGTCACGCAGATCTTGGTGGCCTTCAAGAAGCGGATGCTGGCTGCAGACCGAGGTAAGAGGGCAGTTGTTTACTTAGCGCTTACTATGCAACTGACTTGACACATTTTACATGCCTCATCCCAGTTCAAATTCACAACAGCACTAAGGGAGAGGCATTGTCACCCCCGGTGTACAGACAAAGTGAGTAAGGTTAGGGAGTTTCAGGGAGCTCTGCCTAAGCTTACAAAGCTCAACTGCAGCAGATGCGAATTCAGATTCCAAAGCCTAAGATCTTTTTGCTGGTCAGCCTGAATTTCTCAGAATACCTGTGACTCACGCCATACCTGCAGTATTCTGGGTCTCTAAGAGTATCAGGCCTGCTCTGGGAACAACCACAAAGACCCCGCCCCTCCCCCCCCAAATGTCATTACCAAACCCATGCTGTGCTTTCTGCTTCTTCATCCATGGCAATTCTTCTTCCTGGCAAAATCCTTCCCTTCCTCTCCCAAATCTTACTCCTTTAACTCAACCTGTGCACCACAGCTTCTAAAAGCCAACAGAGTTGCTTCTGCCAGGGATGGGACCAACTTTATTGCATCATCTCATGGGAGTCTCAACAGGGCTCCTCTCCTGGCCCTCCCCGCCCTATCCCCCTCACAGGGAGCACAGTTCCCTCTAGGGCTTCTCATCCTGCCTGCATCTGCCTCTCTAAACCTCTGAAAACCCTCCTGATGGACCAACCAGCTCACCTCTGTGCCTGGCACTCATGCACTCTTGACTAGGTCAAAGGTAACTGAATTTTGTAGACGGAAACCACTAACATGGGCATTAGGATTCTAGGATTAGCTCATCAGAACAACTCACAAGGTGCCTTGCAACATACTCTAAGGGAAATGCGAGGGCTTTCATGATATTATTTGGAAAGTAGAAAAGCAACTTTCCTAAACTGACTCTGGCCTTACCTTATCTCTCTCCATGAAGTATATAACATACAGGAAAGTACACAGACCAGCAGGGTACCACTCAATGAATCTGCATTCATGTAACCAGTACAAGTCAAGAAACGCCCCAGAACACCCCTCATGCTTTCTTTCAGTCACCCCCACCCCCAGAGTAATCACCAGCCTGACTTCCAACCACCAGATTAATTTGGCTATTTTTGTAAAAGAGTCACATGGCACATACTAGTGTAGGAGTGCATTTAGGTACAAACGTATGAACTCCAGAATCTGGTTTATTACTTTTGATATCTATATTATGTATAGTTTCACACTGCTCATTCTGGTTGCTGTGTTGGATTCCATTCTACTATTGGGCATTTGGATGCTTTTGGCTGTTATGAATAATACTGCTGGGAATATCCTAGTATGTGACTATCAGTGCATGCATGTATATATTTCTGTTGGACATGCCTAGGGGTGCAGTTAATGGGTCATGTAGCACTTCGGGTTCGGTGGGCACTTGAGGCCTCTGACTGACGCAAACTTACCATCTGCCCGGAGCACCCAGCTTACGTTCATCAAAATTGAACAGTCCTCTGTTGTGGTTCTGGTTTTGGCAAGTTCCACTCGGAGTTCTCTCAAGTCTCCTGGGGTCAGAGGATGCTGGACCATCCATTCTGGAGATGGCCCTGGTTTGAAAAGGCAAGACTTCCCATGACACTCCCCTTCCAGACCAGTCTGGGGCCATCCCCTAGAAGTGATCCATGCTGATCGACCCCCAGTTCACAATGGAGTACATCTTCCTGCGAAGGCAGGCCGAATGTTCCATGGTGTGGGCTGATTTACAGCTGAGGTACTGCTGAACTAAGAGAAAATGCCCTCAGCCTTGGCCCCAAACCATGGAGCATTTGGGATCACATGCGTGTGTGTGTGTGTGTGTGTGTGTGTATTTCACGTTTGTTAGGGCCAGCCCTGCCTTCCTTGTGCCTCCAGTCTGTTGACCCATAATACTCCACTTTCCCACCTCTTAGCCTTAGTGGCCGCCATTGTTGTTCCTTTAGCTCCTCCTCCCTACTGACATTTCGTAGGCAGAAACCCACCTTTTCTTTGAGTGCTACCACCTCAAGCGTCATTCTTCTTTAAAACGTCTGCTTCCTGGACCCAAGTGACTTCCTCCCCACGGCTCTCCATCTCCCTCTGCACAGTGACGGGCGCGGATTTGCACCCTCATGGTGAGTCCCACCCTGCCTGTGCTCCCCGCACTGGCCCAGAAGCCAGCCGTTTCAGACACCTCCTCATTTCCCCAGAGTTCTGCCTCGAGAACTTCAGCCACATCAGTGGCAGCAATGGTGGTCCTTGTGCCTGGTCTCTGATGGTCCACTACTGGATTCAGGCCCCTTAGAGTCCAACTGTGCTTCTAATGAAATTCCCCAAATGTTTGTTCCCTGAGGCACCTACCGGTTTCAGAGCCACACTGAATAGTCTGCAGGGAAGAAAGAAACCAAGTGTCATATTGAAACCAGTCTTCAATTGAATACTTTTTTCCTTAAACAAATGACACACTTTCGTAGAAAAAATGAGTTGGTTCTGTTTCACAGCTCAGGGAAAGCTACTCTGCCCCACTGTAGGCTACAGTGGGCCACAGATTAGCACCAATATGCCTGATCTCCACCCAGCCAATCCCCTCACTTGAAGACCAGAGGTGGGTCTCTGGGCATTAGCCTTCCCTGCTGCCAGCCAGAGATGACTTGGAGTTCGGGAGGTCCCTTCACACTTGAATGTGTAGCTGCCAGTCTTTGGAAAGTCAGGAGTATTTACTGAGTTCCTCTAGGTTAAGGATTGGTTGTACTATGAAGCTCAATTGAAGGAAGCAGTGACTGTAGTGCACGGTACATTCCCCAGATTCGCTCACGCATTCTAACACAGGACTCACCTGAGCTACTCAGAAAATCATAAGCAACTGTGGTTTCATGGTGTTGCCTTTTAAAAACAACTTTTGAAAAAAAAAATAGATACCATCAACATCCAGGAAAAGCTCATATTCAATTCTTTGAAATTAATTGCTCAGGTTTTCTTTTTTCTTTGTCTTTTTGAGACAGTGCTTCACTATGCAGTTCAGGATGACCTTGAGCTCACTTTGTAGCCCAGGCTGGCCTCAAACTTGCAATGATCCTCCTGCCTCAGCCTCCGGAGTGCTGGGATTGCAGGCATGCGCCATCACACCTAGCTAGCACTTTTCATGCTATAGAAATTATCCCTGAAAGTATAGCCTTAACTAGCTCTTTTCATAAGAAAAAATATTTAGTACTTTGGTTTTGAAATCAGACAGTGAACCTGAAGTATTTAACTTTGAGGCAGCAGTAAGTTCAGTGGCAGGACTCTGTGATGAATCCACCAGCTCTGGAATCTGATCTTGCCAAGCCTTCACATTTCCAAACACCTTGTGAGAGACGAGTTTGGGTTTGGTGATGTCATTAGTTATCCCTTCATATTTGTGAAAGGGAACTTGGAAGGGATATCAAGGCAGACATTATTTTTAAACAAGTCTCCCTATGAGGAGATGATTTCTTGACAAAGGGGTGAGATAAGTGTGAGGAAGAAGCTCTAAACGTGACAGAGTTCAAACCACTGGCCTGACAGCAACTGCCACAAAGCCGATTAAGTCTTCTTCCAGTGGAAAAACCAAGGGGTCCTCAGAAAAGAGGACAGCAGCTGAAGGCATCAGGACAGGAGGGAGGGGGTTTGAGTTCCCATAACCATTAGCAAGTAACTGCCATGCTTTTATGTTATATAAGAAGGCAGGGACTGGTTTCCAGGGCTGTTTGAGAGGTAAGTTTTTTCCTCTTTAGTGACCCATAAGATTCCTTTACTCAAAACACTGAGGAAGAAAGGAAATCTACAGCATGAAGGAAAGAAAAGAAAAAAGAAAAGCAAAAACAGGCCAGTGGTCATGGATCAACAGCCTTTGTGCCCCAACGGGTGGGCAGGTGGCAAGCAATATTGAGCGCGGACTCAGCTTGCCAAGGGGACTCTTCGCAGCTGCCTTGCAGGCCACGTGGGGGTTAGGAGACCTGGGTGAGTTAGGTACTACCCTTCGAAGAGGCGGGGAGAACATGCATGGCCGAAGAGCTCAGAGTAGGGGCTGGGGATATAGCTCAGTGCCTGTCATGAGCGAGACCCTGCGTTCCATCTCCAGCAGGCAAAAATAGACAAAAAGAGCCCAGGATACTTTACATCCAAATCCGTCTGGTCCCCACGCCCCCAAACCAAGCAGCTCGATGCCCACGGCCGGCCAGCTTGGGAACAGTGGGCTGATGCAGATCTGGGGCCCACTGGGCTGCCCCGGGGTGCAGACAGGTCCCCTCCAGAGGCGTGGGCTGGCAGATGCGAGGCAGCCAGGGCCGGGCTCGAGGGACGCACCTGGGGAGTGGGTGCTGGCAAGGGCTTACCGGTTCTTTGGGCAGGACGGTTCTGGACAGCGCGGCCAGGCTCAGCAGCACAAGTGACATGGTGTGGCCCCCAAGCGGGCTGCAGGTGGCCTCCTGCCGCGCATTTATCCCGGCGCCCCGGGCCGCCCCCTCGGGC